AAATATTCTTTTCCCGACAATAAAAATAATTGCCACTAAAAAGTACTAATTAAAATTAATTTTTATTATTTTATCTTTCCCTCCACACCCCATAAAATAAAAATCTTTCCCTCCAATTTTTTTGGACAACAATGAATTATTCCCTCCAATTAGAAAATAAGAGGAAAACCTATTCCCTTGTTGAACAGGAATCGCGCCCAAAAACATCGAAAATTAATCGTGCCCAAAAACATCAGGATTAATCGAACAGAGTCACGACTTTGCAAGCCTACTTCGACCAGATTTCGATCATCTTTTTCCCTTGTTGAACGGATGCAGAATAGCGCCAGCTTCTACATCGAACAGGATTAACAAAGCCGCGACTCTGCTAGCCTACATCGATCAGGTCTCGATCAACTTTTTCTAGAGATAAATCCTCTTCTTCCCCAGGTATAACTTCTCTTCTTACCCAGCAAGTGCGATTTAAATCGAGTTGGTATTGGTGCTGCTCGATTATGCGCAATCTTCGTCGTCAGTATTCTCCCTTTAATCCGTCTCCAACTTCTCTTTTTGTGTAGGTTCAAGATTGTTGCAGAAATTTATCATCTCCTTCAATTTCTTGTCTTTTTCGCAAAAAAAAAAAATCTGCTTACCAGGTAAACATTTGTAATTTTTGATATCCAACTATTGTGTTTTGAGATTTGTGAAAGTATAGTTTTTCTGCATATGCTAAGTCGTTTGTGATAACGGGCTGCTGTTAAATTGATGTGCGATTGATTGAGTTTATTCCTCCTCTGTTCCTCACTCGGGCAGAAATAGTAGAGATGCTTATCATGCTTGATATACTCTTGGACAAAATATTAATATATCTTATTAGCTATAACTTAGCCATTTCCGAGTTTTTTCCCCTAATGTAACTGACAGAATCTAATTGATTTGGAAGGCTGTATAATTATTTGAGCGCTTTATAGATGTAATCTTAGGAAAATGGTTAGTATCGAGACTTAATGCCTTTTTCTAATACTTGAATAGAAGACCTTATAGAAAGCTAGTTATTCAGGGAAATTGCTACAAACTCTCACATACAAGCCAATAGGTACAAATATTCTGTATCCATTTGAATTTTGATTTGAGGCTGTAGGTTTTCCCTTGGACAAAGTACTTTGCTTGATATATATTTGTTGTTTGTAGATTTGTAATATTGCAATTTGCTATTGTGTTTTTGCATTTACTTTAGCCATTTAGCTATGACCTGTGTAGTGACTGAAAAAATAAAGAATTCATCGTAGATTGATCCGCTTGATGTAATTTGAGTATTCCTGTTTCTTCTCGAGAAAGTTATCCATCTCCGTATTTCATTAGGTACCTCTTCTGTAATTAAATTTGATGTACTAACAAATGGTATTTCCTATTGTCTTTCAAGTCTTAATAGTATTATGTAATTGATTGATTAGATCTTCAGTATGCTACATCATTCCTCTCTTTTTTTTTTAAATTTGGTGTCCTTGTTAGATGTTTTCTGAAACTCTTACTCGTTAGGATGATGTGGAGAAGAACAAGCTTCTTAAATCTCCTTGTTGAATGTTTGTCCTGACCTGAAAATGTTTCTACTTCTATTCAGTATCTGAAACCATTTTAGGTGATAATATGACTATTGTTTCGAGGACTAGAATCCTTGATAATGGAAAGCATTGTCGGGTGATTGTTTCCTTTCAAAGCAGGCTACTATTAGAGTTTTCTATCGTTTGATCAACTTCTGCAGTTTTCTTCCTTAGCTTCTTCTGCAAATTCTATTTGAATTAGTAATAGTTTGCCTATTTGAAAGTTACTATAGTGTTCCATTCATTCTAGTTGAAAGAGTAGAGTTATAAGATTCTACCTGAATTCTACTTAATCTGATATCATTGGTTGCCTTGCTTGATCGAAATAGTGTCTATATAGTGTGCTGAAAATATAGAGTTTAGTGGTTTGGTGTATCACCTGAGGTGTGCTGTTGCTGTTGTAGTGGACTGCCTCGAGTATGCTTCTGCTGTCCAGCCATGAAACTTATAGAAAAATCTTGCTGTTGTCCTGTATTTGGATGTTTGTGTTGCTGTACAGTAGATTTATCCGCTTCAGAGACAGCTGCTGGATTGTTTCGACTATGCTGCTGCTGCCCGGATTTTAGTATTATTTACATTTTGCATTATAGTACCACTTAAAATGGAAGGGCTGCAATATGTTGGTACTGGTGGTGAGCTGCAAAGTTTTGGTATTTGTGGTGAGCCTACTGAGCGTGGAGCATTAGCAGCTTGTTTTTGCCCAGCATTTCGAACTTGCCCTTCTACTGCTACTGCTGTTTCAACATCTGTTCCTCCTACATGATCACTTGCAGTNCCGTGATAATGGAAAACATTGTCGGGTGATTGTTTTCTTTAAAAGCATGAAGGATAGAACCTGGAGCATAAATCCTTACTTTACCTTATCAAGAAAGGATTTTAGCAAAACTAGCTGGACGGCTCTATTGCCTATTGGGCTGCTTTTTGAGCCCAAATCTGACATTAGTTGAATGATTTTTGTGATTGTGCTCATATGTTTGTTGATAATTATGTATTACTTGGCAGTAGAGGATTTGTGTGCCTTGCCAAGATGAGGGTGAAATGTGAATACTATTTAAAGATCTCCTTTAGTATATTAGTGCCTTCCTCAATAACGTATGCAAAAAAGGTTTCTTTTACACACCAATTCAGATTATCCTAGAATGGGAAGTGAAGCTTTTGCAAATATTTGTTTGTTCACCCTGAGGACTTCTATTTAGTAATCTCTTAAATGATCTTAACAAATAAGAGCTGTAATTAATATTCAGTTATCACCTTTCTAGAAGGTGGCGTTGTGAGAAATTTTCTGGAGATGGATCTAGGAAAATTGGTTCTTTGTAGATTGCATCTATCGGTGGATGCAACAAGGGATTCATCTTCATGATGCAGCCAATATCTGATTGCTTTTGGTCATCTTAGCTTTGGTGTGTGAGGGAAAGAGAGTTTTTCTTATATTACCTTAGGGTAGGGGTAAGGTCTGCGTACATATTACCCTCCCTAGACACCACTAGTGGGATTACACTGGACCGTTGTTGTTGTTGTTGTTGTTGTTGTTGTTGTTGTTGTTGTTTCTATTTGATAGTTTTACTTCTTAAAATGATATCTTTGAGCTATAGAATTACCTACTAATAGATGGTTATTTTATTTAAACTATATTTTTTATTAATTTCCTCTTTTTACTAATGAATTTTTAGCTCTTGTAGTAAGTATAGAATAAAAAAGAATATCTTGAACGTCATGGACAATCCTAGAAATAAAAGATGGATGCATTGTGATAGAGTTAGTAAAGAATATTTGGATGGAGTAGAGGAGTTTATAAACCATGCCTTTTCTGAAAAACAAGATGGAGAACAAATTGCATGTCCTTGTACGGAGTGTGTGCTTATCCATCAAGTAAACCGGACTACAGCATATGATCATCTTGTGATTAATGGTATTATGCCATCATATGATACTTGGTTTTGTCATGGTGAATCTCTAAAGGGATCAAACAATGCTTAAGCAAATAATTGCAGCCAGTCAACTTTAAGGGGCGATGATATGACAGGAATGATACATGATGCCTTTGGAGGCTTTACACAGTTCATGAATATTGACGTTAGTGAAGGGGGTGACATAGAGCATAACTTACAAGAGAATACTGCTCATCCATCTGGAAATCAACTGCATCCAGAGGTTGATAAGTTTGAACGGCTCATGAAGGAGGCAAATAAAGAACTATATCCAGGATGTAAAAAATTTAGCAAAATATCCTTTTTGATGTATCTGTACCATACAAAATGCATGTTCAAATGGTCAAATGAATAGTTTAATGCTTTGCTTGGACTATTGAAGGATGCGCTGCTTGAAGGAGAAAAATTGCCTCCTTCTTTCTATGAGACCAAAAAGATAGTTGAAGGCTTGGGCTTAAAGTATGAAAAAATTCATGCTTGTCCCAATGATTGCATGCTTTTTAGGAAAGAGTTTGCTAATAAGAATGTCAATAAATGCAATGTTTGTGGAGATTCTAGATGGAAAAATAATGCTAGAAAAATCCCAGCCAAGGTCCTAAGGTATTTTCCTTTAAAACCAAGGCTACAAAGACTGTTTATGTCTTCGAAAACTTCTAAAGCAATGCGTTGGCATCATGAAGAGCGCAACAAAGATGGAGTTCTACGACATCCTGCAGATTCTGAAGCTTGGAAAAAATTTGATAGCAAATATCCCGAATTTGCTGGAGACCCTCGCAATGTGCGCCTAGGATTAGCTTCTGATGGGTTTAATCCATTTGGCACAATGCGAACTGTTCATAGTACATGGCTAGTGATTTTAATGCCATATAGTCTTCCTCCATGGATGTGTATGAAACAAGAGTTCTTCATTCTGTCCTTCCTTATTCCTGGACCTAAAGCGCCTGGCAATAATATCGATGTATTTTTGCAACCTCTAATAGAGGAGTTAAATGAATTATGGAATGTTGGGGTAGAAACATACGATGCCTCTACTAACACCTTGTTTGGATGGTTGCTACGTATCGTTTCATAATGTACCGTATAGTATTGTATTGTATTGTACTGTATCGTTTGATGAATACAATGTTTGGATGGATTGTGTCGTTTTGGCGTCGTTTTATGGTATCACCGCCTGTGATATGATGAATAAACTTGCAATATTATAAAAAAAAATTATGATACGGTATATAAAAAGGTAGTGTAAATGATAAAATAAAATTATTTAATAATAATGAAGGGTGGGATTGAGAGAAAAACACAAGGAAACGACGCGACCACACCAAATCGGTCGCTACATGAAGTGGAACATTTCATCGTTACGTAACGACGGATTTAACGATACGATACAATAAAATTTAAGTAACAATTAAAATAAACATTGTATTTAAAGTAACAATACGATACGATACGATAGGTAACAACCATCCAAACAAGTTGTAAGGAGATATTTCAAATGCGAGCAGCTCTCATGTGGACTATAAATGACTTTCCTGCATATGGTAGACTCTCTAGATGGTGCAGTTATGGTCGGTTTGCATGCCCTTCTTGTAACATAAACACTCAATCTAGAAGACTGAAACATGGCAGAAAGTTTTGTTACATGAGGCATCGATGCTTCTTGAAGTATCGGAATGATGCGAAATCATTTGATGGGACTAAAGAAACAAGACCTTCACCTTGTCCAGTATCTGGGTCAGTAGTGCTGGATCAAGTTAAAGATATAAAATTTACTCTCGGCCAGTCAAGTGAAGGGGTAAGTGGGGTGATGAAAAACACATGGAAAAAGAGAAGTATTTTTTTCGATCTTCCTTACTGGATATTTAACTTGGTGCGCCATAATCTTGATATGATGCACATAGAAAAGACTGTGTGCGATAACTTAATTTATACACTATTGAATCTTGGTAAAAAGTCTAAAGACAACTTAGAAGCTCGATTGGACTTGAAGGAGATGAAAATAAGACCAAGCTTATGGCCTCAATATCGAGCTAGTGGGAGAGCATATCTTCCTGCTACTTTTTTCACAATGTCTCAGCAGGAAAAGGACTTATTTTATGAAGTACTACAAAATGCCAAGTTTCGAGATGGCTATGCGTCTAATATTTCACGTTGCGTTCGCAAACGAAAGTTATCTGGGCTAAAAACTCACGATTGTCATGTTATAATGCAAGAACTTCTTCCTCTTGCCTTGCGGAGATCAGTAGATAAAAGAGTAAGTTCAATTTTAATTGAACTATGCACATTCTTTCGTGTTTTGTGTAGCAAAGAGCTAAAACTAGAAGAGTTAAACCTACTTGAAGAAAAAATCCCAGAAACATTGTCTACTATGGAGAAACTCTTCCTTCCAGGATTCTTTACTGTTATGATACACTTGGTTATTCACTTGGCAACCGAGGCTAAACATGCGGGACCAGTACATTATCGCTGGATGTATCCAATTGAGAGGTATGTAGAAAATCACTGAATCTTTGNCTTTGTTCCATAGGTATTTGGGTACTTTAAAATCATATGTTCGTAATCGTGCATGTCCAGAAGGTTCAATAGCAGAAGCATACATAGCAAATGAGTGTATGGCATTCTGCTCACGATATTTAGAGGGTAGAGATTCAATGTCTTATTGTTCAAGAAAATGGAGTGATGAAATTGAGCATGAGACTAATAAAGAAGAATCTCTTTTTCCTACTGTTGGGGAGTCGTACGGTAGAGTAGATGTATTTGAGTTGGATGACAAAACATGGTTGCAAGCACATCGGCATGTGCTTTTCAATTGTGAATCAGAAGTAGTTGAGAATTATAAAAAGTAAGTGTTATATCTATTATTTAATATATATTACTTATTTGATAACAAAATTGATATATACGAGTTACATGTATAGGGAACATATTGCTGAAATCAAAAGAGCACATCGTAAGCGTCGTTTGACACAACATCAACTTGATCGTGTGCATTTCGATACATTTCATGAGTGGTTCAAGGAGTAAGTAAGTAGTAGGACTAAGTCATTGTTTACGTTAAATTATTATCCTTGTACAAATATCCACATTTATAGTTGTATCTTTTATTTGGTTAGGTAAAGGAGTTAGAAGCCACATCTAAAATCTTAAGGGATGTTAAAGTCCTAGCACAAGGACCGAGTTACATTGCAAAAAGATTCAGTGCGTTCGATGTTAATAATGGGTATCGATTCCGAACAAAACAAAGTGAAGAGTTCAATGTGACACAAAATATTGGTGTTATGGTCATTTCGAAGACTGAAAGTTATGCAAGTACAAGTGATAATGCTCCAAAATCTGCAAATATCACATATTATGGCAGATTGAATGATATTGTGGAGTTAAACTACTATGAGAAATTTAAGGTCATCTTATTTAAGTGTGATTGGGTTGATGTAACCAAAGGTAGAGGAATTAAGGAAGAAGACTTGGGTTTCACACTTGTGAATTTCACACACCTGACAGTCTCTGGCGATCGAGAACGTCATGAGCCCTTTATTTTTGCAGAACAAGCTCAACAAGTAATATTTGTGCAAGATCCTCAAGATCATGAATGGTTTGTCTCTAGGTTAATTAAACCTCGAGACATTTTTAATATGGGAGAGGAAAATAGTGTGCAGTTTGAGCCATCAACGCAAAGTGATGCCACTGACTTGGCTCTTTTAGAAAATGCTTGTGTTTTAGAAGATGAGTATAATAATTGGGTAAGAAGTGGTGTCGATGGGATAATAATTGATACAAACGTAGATTCCCAACCTTCTCCAAATGATGGTGAAGCTAATGTTGAGGGAGAAAATAACATAGAAAATGAATGTGATTCTGAATAAGATAGGTGGTACTTATAGAAGATTTTTGTTGCAAGTGTTATGTAATAAACTCTAAGGGTGTTATTTTTTTGCTTCAGAAATTTGAATATTGGATGTTTGAGTGAATTTATTGTGCTTTCTTCTACTTATATTTTGCTTATTGTATCCATTTAAATGTGATATTAGAAGGTGGTACTATAACTTGATAATTATTTTCCTAGTGCATAAATAACTCTTATCTCTAGAACAATATTTGTCGCAAGGCTTTGTTTGCGTTACCTGAGTTGTTGATATTTTTCACATATTGAGATTTGGATGATGCTTCCTCATGTTTTGCATGTGGCCTGCTGATTTGTTGGGGTCAATCTAGTACTAATATAGCGTAATGCAGCTAGATAATTTTTTTCATTTTGGAAAAGGAACTATGCGAACTAGAGGTCGCAACCGACTGGTAATTGAACAAGACGACGATGAAGATGTGCGACCTTATATTGAGAATTTGATGGATGGTCAAAATCATTCTGCAACCCAGCCTTATATTGAGCAGTTGATGGATAATCAGAACTCTTCTGAAGACCGGGCACATGATAATCAATCTTGTGATTTGAATAGTTCTGCTGGTGGTACTGAAGTTCAACAAAATGATGATGAATCAGGTAACACTTTTCTCTAGAATCATTTTCAAATCATAATTGTTTAAGAGAATTAGAAAGAACTTCAAGCCCATACCTACCACTTTTCTCTGGAATCATTTTCAAATCTTAATATATCTACTACTAGTATATTTCTTTGTGACAATAATGAGTGTGAACTTAATATATGTAAATATTCTTTTTTTAGAATTCCAACTCTTTATAATTCCATTGGAGAATATATATAATTCCAACTATTGGCAGCAAGATATGAACTTTTTATCAGAAGAATATGTCGAATTGTTGCATCTTTATACTGTCTATAAATTTTCATAAGAGAAAAGTGAAATACGTTCAGACCTGTTCTGTTTCGTTCTTGTATGGTAGCCTTTTTACTTTTCCTCCCCAGCCACTTCCTTATTTCCTGTTCCTTCTCCTTCCCAAGGTGTGGGGGCCTAAAAATTCCCTATTGCAGGAATGGTCGAATTGAGAGAGTTGTGGAAAACATTTAAATGGAAATCAATATTTCCTTTTCATGTATTGGTTTTATGTAAGTATCTTGAAACTGACGTTACTTTGAAAAAGAACAGCAATCCGTCTGTAGCCCTTTCTGCTGAATGGTTTTCTTATGTGAAGTTCTCAAAACCTCATGTCATTTGTAAAATATTTAAAGGAACAATAGTTATTTTTGCTTGTATGTAAACTATGCGATATACCAACAAAATTCTGCAAAAACCTGCGTAAGATCTAGCAAAGTGGATTCAAGTATTTTAATATACAAAAAACTGCAACATGATCAGCTCAGAAGCATGATTTTAACTCCCCAAATTCTGTCTGAAACTTTGGTTCTGCTCCCTCATTCCCCTGAATCTTAATGCCTTGGTGATTGATTTACCTTCTTCTTGTTACTCTGACATAAAAGACTTCATAGTTCTCAAGCTGCTGCTGCCCATCTTGCTTTGTTACTATCACTGTCTTTGATCGAGCTTCAATTTTGTTTATTCCATCAAGCTGCTGCGTCGATAGAGGAATGAAATCACATAAGTTTGAAATCAATTGTTATTTAACAGATTTAACCATATAAGTTTTGCCATTTGATGACCTTTGAATCTTCTATTCTAGGTAATTTGGAGCCAAGAAAGGTTCATGGGCCTACTTTACTAAAAGACATTTGGAAACTTCCTCCGGGGAAGGTAGTTGATGTGCCGCTTAATAATCGTAACCAAGCTATTGGGGAAAAAGGTCGAAAGCTTGCTAGCTTTCTAGGAATCATTGCGAGAACTCCAGAACTAACACCTTTACATGTAGATGATTGGAAAAATTTTGACAAGGAGGAAAAGAAGAAATTGGTGAATTTTGTGAGGGTATGGAGTAGTAGTTGTTGTTATTATTATTATTATTATTATTATTATTATTATTATTATTATTATTATTATTATTATTATTATTATTATTATTATTATTATTATTATTATTATTATTATTATAATTATTATTATTATATGAATGGGTTCAATCTTTTATACATGATATTTTTTTCTAAATATTGGCTTTAATTTTTTAGAAGAAGTTCTCTATCCCAAGACGAGGAGAAGCTTATGTCCTAAAGTCACTAGGAAAGAAATGAAAATATTACAAGTCTGAGTTAAAATGTGAGTATTTGCGAAAATATAAGACTAAAGACCTTTTGCTGAAAAATAGACCAAGTCGCATACCGAGGGATCAATAGAGTGGTCCTGTCGCTTATTGGCTTTCAGATAAAGCTAAGGTATTAACAAATCTTTAAAACACCTCTAGTTGATTATTTTCAGTGTTTTAATTTTAGTTATGCTCAATTTTTATGTATAATTTATAATATATCATTTTAATATTTCAACGACAGAGGCGTTGCCAAGCACATAGAAATAATAGGGCCAATCAAAAGATGCCTCACACAGGAGGATCCAAAAGTATTGCTACCTTGATGGATGAGCAGGTAAACTTGTTCAAATTACTAACTATAATGTTTTAATTTTTTTTTCACGCATATCTTACATCAATTTTATTGTATTAGGCTGTAAATGTGATAGAGCCTACACGAGCACAAGTTTTCATATTAACTCATACAAAACGTAAGGATGGTAGACCACTGGATGAAGATTCTGTCAAGGCAATTGTAAGATTTCTTTTTTTCTTTTATTTTCATAATTGGAAAATAGTTTGGAAAAAACATAAAAGCGAATAAATGAATTCCAAATTGGATTTATGTATTTTATAGCCAGGAAATGATAAATGAAAGGACGAACAATAGTGAGAGCTCTACTGACCAACCTCCTCGCGGTGCTGCTTGGGAAGGCGATGTGTATTCTCAGGTGTTCGAAAATGACAAAAGAGGATATGTTCGTGGTTTAGGACTTGGTCCAACTCCTTCTGTTCTATGGGGCAATAGATCTTCCTTAGAAAATATTGTTGGAGAGGATTCGTCTAATGAAGCTGTCCAAAGGTTAACATAAGAGATAACCGAGTTAAAGGATAAACACAATGAAGAAATGAATCTGATGAAACAAAATCAGGAGAAGATGCAATCAGAATTACTCGAAATGCGTCAATTGATGCGCAAATATGCTTCCAATGAATCTATGCCTCAAAATATCAATGACACTTCAATTGAACAGGTAACTCGATTTTATAAGTTATGCACATTATTAATGAAGTTTTAATCCTATAAAAGTATTGTTATCTGGTGTGTTAATATTTATCAGGTCCCTACTGCCAATAGTGGCCATGAACGAGTACCACAAACATCAAGGATACCTAATGTTGCTGAAAATACTTCAATGTCTCATGGTACTACTCATCTTTATCCTTCGGCAAGCTACTATTTGAGTTTTCTATTGTTTGATCAACTTCTTCAGTTTTCTTCCTTCTTCTGCAAATTCTATTTGAATTAGTAATAGTTAGCCTATTTGAAAGTTACTATAGTGTTCCATTCATTCTAGTTGAAAGAGTAGAGTTATAGGATTCTAGCTAAATTCTACTTAATCTGATATCATTGGTTGCCTTGCTTGATCGAAATAGTGTCTATATAGTGTGCTGAAAATATGGAGTTTAGTGGTTTGGAACTTACCAAGGCATCGAGCAAACTCCTATCCTCCAAAGTGATAGTTGGTGACGTTATGTCCTGCTGCTGCTGCTCACCAGTTGCTGTGACTGAATTGGTTAGGAGCTGGGCTAGGTCTGGGCCCCTAGAACTGGTCAGCAGCACCTGTATACCAATTTGCTGAATTCGGATCTGCAGGTGATTGCAAAAAAAGACCTGCTGTTGGGAAGCAGGTGTGAAGCAGGAGTTTGGAACCAGTTGCATCTGTGTGTTGTTGCTTTGTTGCTGCTGTGTTTGTTGTATTTTCCAAAGGCATTTTCCTGGAGGTTGCAGCAGTAGGAATGTGTGACGACCCGGCCGGTCGTCTTAAGAATTAATGCCCAGATCCCCTATTAACTGTTTTCCCCAAGTTTATTTCTGCTATTTTGATTTGCCGGGACATTCGGTTTTGAGTTTCGAAGAGTTTTAGGACACTTAGTCCCTAAATGAGAGCATATGTGTTGGAAAATGGTCCACAGCCAGAACAGTGTGAAGACGGCCTCGGAATGGAAATCTGATGGTTCTGTTAGCTTCGTTAGGTGATTTCGGGGTTGGGAGCGTGTTCGGAACGTGTTTTGGAGGTTCGTAGCTAATTTAGGCTTGAAATGCCGAAAGTTCGAATTTTGAAGTTTCCGGTTTGATAGAGAGATTTTGATTCGGGGTTCGGAATGGAATTCCGGAAGTTGCAGTAGCTCCGTCATGTCATTTGGGATGTGTGTGTAAAATTTCAGGTCACTCGGACGTGGTTTGGTTAGGTTTTTGATCGAAAGCGTGTTTTGAGAGAAAATGAAGTTCTTAGGCTTAAATTAGTGATTAATTCGAGTATCCGATATTGTTTTAGGTGTTTTAAGGATTGGTACAAGTTTGAATGGGGTATTAGGTGATGTTGGTGCTTTGGGTTGAGGTCCCGGGGGCCTCGGGGTGATTTCGGATGCTTGACGGGAAGATCGGAGAAGTGTTGCAGCAACTGAAGCATTGCTGCTTCTGGTATTTTTGCATCTGCGGATTGGGAACCGCAGATGCGGTACCGCAGATGCGGCATGGAAGACCGCAGAAACGGGGTTGGCCAGGCTCATCAGGCTCCGCAGATGCTGTGGGATTTCCGCAGAAGCGGATCCGCATCTGCGAGATCAGGACCGCAGGTGCAAAATTTTGGATTTTTAATGAAACAACAGAAGCGGCTTAAGTTCCGCAGAAGCGGGACCACAGGTGCAGTCCCTTGACCGCAAAAGCGGAAATCACTGGACTGAAATATGAAATTCGAGGGTTTA